AGAGTCACTCCTCAGGACTGATAGGCACACAGGGTCAGGTAGGAGCTTCCTGCTATAGACAACCCTGGGAGGAGAAGAGCATGTATGGAGCCCCCTGAGCTACCAAACTCAAGTGCGAGAGACACAGGCTGATTCATTTTAATAAACTTGGAGGATCCATGCACAGAGATTGTAATTAGCCAAGTTGCTCTGTTTTCCTAATCTCCAAGGACTTCCTCACATGGGTAGAGGTAGAAAAAGAAGAAGAGAAAATAAATATCTCCAAGGTTATGGTCTCTTCCTCTACTCAAGTAAACTCTGGGTATTGTTCACTCAATTTATTTCTTTCCCTTGTTTTGAATGATCCATTTGTACCTAATTCTATTTCTTGTGATAAAATATACAGGAAACATCAACTTCCATTTTTACCAATTTTATGTGCATAGATCAGTAGTATCAATTACATTCCTTTTGTTGTTTAACCATTACCATTGTCCATTTCCAGAAAATTTTCATCTTGCTGATCTGAAAATTTGTACCCATTGGCACAACTACATACTTATTCTGATTCTACCCCTGGCTAATGCAACACTATTATCAAACATCAGAGCATATATGTGGTCTACAAAAATAATGTAAAGAGGGAGAAGGAATACATTTGTAGAGGCTAGCTTTTGCTGCAGTTTTTCTAGCCTACCTTCTAACTATATGCTGCAGGTCCTGAGATTGGACTGTTCTGCTCTGTGTTCTCAGAACCCAGAATAGAGATGAATGCAGAGCACATCACTGAGGTCTGGAGTTGTCGGGGAATGGGATACCAAAGTGGACTCCAAAGCTGGTTTCATAAAATATACAACACCTTACAGGTGAGACCACATGTAGAGAAGGATTGATACTTGACTGGACACTCAGAATGGAGCAACAATTTTATAGTAACAGAATAAGCTCCCTGAGATAGGAAGAAATCCAGAGGTAACACCAACACCATGCATGACTGCGGGCGTGGTGACACACATCTGTGATCCCAGCAGCTCTGGAGGCTGAGGCAGGACGATGGGAAGTTCAAAGCCAGCCTTGGGAATTTAGTGAAGCCCTGAGCAACTTAGTGAGACCCTGTCTCAATATGAAAAAAAAAAATAAAAAGGGCTGGGGGTGTGGATCCATGATTGAGCGCCCCTGGGTTCAATCCCTGGTATCCGAAAAATTAGTGAAATGATAACAAAAATTACATTTTATGTTGAAGATAATGAATAAGTGCTATGTGGATCCCTCCTCCCATCCTGTCTCCATCAGCACATTCTTGGTTGCGCTGACTACCTGCTTGGTCATGACTAAGGACTGCAGATGTGAGAAGCCTCCCCTGCTGGGGGCACAATCAAGGCTCTGACTTGCTCCTAAGGACTGATATGAATACAGTAACAGGGCTGTTCTGGTTTAGAATCCACACTCCAAGAAAAGATGAAACAAAGAAAAATTAGATCATCCTGCTGTGCAGCCTCCTCAGGGCACTTTTAATGTCCCTGTTCCTCAGGCTGTAGATGAAGGGGTTCAGCATGGTGCTGACCACAGTGTACATCACTGAGGCCACTGCACCCTTCCTGGGAGAATGTGAGACAGCTGTGCCAAGGTACTCTACAATACCTGTTCCATAAAATAGACAAACAACTGCCAGGTGACACCCACAGGTGGAGAAGGCTTTGTACTTCCCCTCTGAGGATGGGATCCTCATAATGGAGGAAACAATTTTACAGTAAGAGAAAAGGATCCCCGAGATGGGAAGAAAGCCAAATATGCCAATTATAATATAAATGACTATGTTATTGGTAAAAGTATCAGAACAGGCAAGATTGAGGAGTTGAGAAGGGTCACAGAAGAAGTTAGAAATTTCCACATCCTTGAAGTACACAAACTGTAGTATAATCAAACTGTGCAACAGGGAGTTGAAAAGGCTAATTAATAAAGACACCGTGACTAAGAAGCCACAGAAACCAGGGTTCATAGTGACTGGATATCGCAGGGGGTGACAGATGGCCACAAACCGGTCATAGGCCATCACAGTCAGAAGCATGTCATCCATACAGACAAAACTGGCAAAAAGGGACATCTGTGTCAGGCAGCCCATATAGGAGATGGCTCTGCTGTGAGTCTGGATGTCCACAATCATCTTAGGGACTGTGGTGGAGATGAAACAGATGTCTGTCAAGGACAGGTTGGAGAGGAAGAAATACATAGGGGTGTGGAGGTGGGGGTCAGAGCTGACAGCCAGGATGATGAGCAGGTTCCCAAGCACTGTGACCAGGTACATGGACAGGAACAGTCCAAAGAGGAGGGGCTGCAGGTATGGATCCTCTGAGAGGCCTAGGAGGAGGAATTCTGAGACATGGGTTAGATTCCGTTCTTCTATATTACTCGGACAACTTTGGGAATAAAATAAGGAAACAACAGGTGTTCAGCACAAACAAGTACTCATACTTGAATTCCATGCACCTTCAGAAATATTTTCTTGACAAACTGAGTCTTCTCTGAACTCTTGCTTTACTGGTATCTGTGTTTCACACCCTTCTCTGCTCATATGTAAATGAGAGACCAAGATCATTACACATAACAAGTCTATGACCACAGTGAAATATAGTCCATTTTGACAATTTTTATGGGTGTATATTACTTATATAGAAGAGTAGGTTTTATCGTGGTCTATTTGTACATGCATTTAACAATTTGATCAGTTTTATTTCCTAGTACCTACTGCTTCCTTCCTCACTTTCCCCAAGCTCCTACCTCTTCCTTAATGTCCTCCCTCTTGTTTTGATGCATTCCATTTCCTCCCCCCCTTTTCTCTCTAACTTTCACATAGGAGAGAAAACCTGTGTTGCTCATCTTCCTGAGTCTGCCTTGTTTTGTACAGTCAACTTTTCTAATAAAATAGCAGAACCAGCATGCCTGTGGTCTTGGGCTCCATCCCCAGCACCTTCAAAAATAATAATTAAAGAGGGGAAGAAGAAATACTCTTCCCATTTCAAAATTATTGTTATTAAAAGAAATCAAGAAGCTGTCAAATATAACTTAAGGTAATGAGAAATTCCTGGCATTAAAATGACTATAAATACTGTATCAGAGAAATTCCTCTCTCTGGCTTTGGTGATCTTCAAATTTTGATGCATTGTTTAAATGCACACAATCACATAACATTAGTTAGCACAAATGTGATACTAGTGGACAGTGCACCTGTCAGTCACTGGTTAAAGAATAATGTAATAATAATACACCCTTATGAAATTTTTAAATTTGGGGGCATTATATTTTTGTTCAACCCCATGTCATTGTAGGAAGGTATCTGCTAGGAAGACAGATTTTTTGTTTTTTATTTTCTCTTGATAATTCATTTAATTGGGATGGCCTGCCAATGCTGCTGTATTGTTGTCCTAGTCAAAAACTTTTATTTTCATTTGATGATTTTAGCACCTAGCATATGACCCAAAATTCTAAATGGACATTGCAAAGTTGTGCCTAGTTCATAGGTTTTCAAATTAGTCCAGCCTCATATATGGACTACACTTCCCCTACTTCAACTACCTGAAGACAATTTTGGGACATTATTTTGTCAGCTCATGTTATAACTTCATTGGTAAAATTGAGAAATGAAGTTTTCAGGGAAAAAAGTAAACATACTTTGGACGTTTTCTCACCTGTAAAATGTAGATAATAATTAACATCCAAAGGTTAATTGTCAGAAAGGGTTTAAGAAACATTTTAAATTATGTAGACTTGTTCTGTCTCAGTCACCAATATAGTTATCTGTGGAAATCTTAATATATATGTACCCTGAGCTTCTCTCCAAATTAAATTCATCATAATATTTACCTGTGAAGTTTTGATGGTTCTTTTCCACACTAGCATTGAGAACAAGTGACATAACATTTCCTGGAATTTAGGAAATATTCCATTAATGATTTCCACTATTATAGCTAATAATATTCACTATAGTCATTAAAATACACACATTTAGTAATATGTGCTTCAGATCTAAAATTCTGTGGAGATTTGAATTATGGCCCAAGAAATTTGAATACTTTATATCTGCATGACTTCACTCTTCTGATCACTTGTTCCACAGGCAAATTCAGTCATGAATTTGGTGGTAGATTTTCTCATAGATGTTTCCATTTCAACTTTTGATATATGTTTCTACAAAACAATTTTTTTATTCAAAAATTGCCCAACAATATTTTAAAGCTCATCTATTCAGTATGTCACAACATGTTTTTGTGCACTAGTTTACAATCACATGCAATTTTACATTCATTGAGTTCAAATCTTTAACGGATGCAAAGAATTACCTGAGGGTGGGACTTCATTTGTAAGTTTTTATTATTATTGTTATGAGAATTCTTTCAAAATTCTTGTTCTTCTCTCCATATCACACTAGTGAAAATTTCCATGCACTATGTGGGTGGAAAGGATTGTTCTTTGACTTCCAACAGCTTATGTCTATTTGATTTAGCTACAAATCACCTACATTGCTGCCCCCAAAGAGCCTGTCATTACCAATGTATTTCCTTATTTTTAACATATATCTTCAAAATATCCTTGTCATGCTTGTCATGTGTCTATTAACAATCCTTGCATAATGGATCACTAAGAAATTCCATCTCCTATGGGAATCATCTCCACTGGGCTCCAGAGGAGAAGACAGTGTCCTGGGATGGGAGACAGGAAATTCACATTTGAGTCTCAAATCATTGATGGACCACAATATGCAGAACATGTGTAAATCTCTCCACTTCTCTGAACTTGTACTCCTTACTGATGGGGAGAATAACAGCAATCTCCCCTTCATGCATGGCACATAAGTAAAATTGAAACCTAAAAATATTTAGTATTGTAGTTTCTTTATCAAAGTACAAAATCCAATGCTGTGGGAATAACTAGCTACTGATGAACGTCAATGTTAAAGATCACTCAACTGTGACTATAGGAACTCTGACATGTGTCTCATCCCAAGATCAAGCTTTACTCACCTCCTGCATTTGCCTCTTTTTTTGTTTTTAATACACATGAAAGCATGTGTTATATTTTTGAATAATTCATCATGCAGATGTGGTTAAAAGGATTATAGGATCCAGATGTCCATGACATAGACCCAAACAAGAGCTGTTGTATCTTGTCTGCAGTTCTATGGAACATTACTGAAAAGTGTGAGAATGCAGATAGGAAAGCACCAAGTGTGTTGAAGTTACACTGATTATGTGAACCAAGAAACAGTCTCTTTAATATGATGTGATATATTTAATATTAAACAGTCTCTTTAATATGATGTGACAGAAATTTTTATATTATTAATGGGATTTGGTATGCTATTTACAAACATTCATTTCTCCTCTGTGCTTAGCAATATATAGGCTCTGGGAAATTAGAAATAAATGATTCCTCCCCAAATTGACAACATATAGAAGTAGGAAGTTGTTGCTTCTGATTGATGAAGAGCTTAGCTGAATGGTGTGATGCTCAAACTTACCATTATTATAATGTAAATATACATTATTAGTAATAGTAACATGTAAACTTTATTCTCCTTTACATATATGTTCATCTTCTACCTATCACACAAGGAACCTCTATTTAACCTGTCATCATTGCCGTTTTCTCAACTAGAAAGCACTTCAGTTGACAATGCTGAGTTTTAGACACTAACAACCTGCACTCTGTTTAGAAAGGAAACAGGTGCCCAGAGGTGAATTTAAACTTCTAGTCTCTGAATCTGATGCATTAAATTTTCAATTGTTTCCGAACTATTAGTCATTTGAAGGAGACATAAAGAGGTTTAGCCACATAAAATTATGGGCATTTATTTATTTATTTATTTAAGCTATTCCCAGTTTTCTGAGCACAAGTGATATCAAATCCTGACTTCATCTACCCTTGATATTGAGTGGCTGAGTAGAAGTTCTCAGGAGTGTGCACAGGTGCAAGGATCTCCTGAACTAGGCAAGAGTCAGGTCTGTGCTGAACCCTCCTTGTCTGCTCTTCTGTGATCTGTGCCCATGGGCTGGGGCTGTGCTTTCCGTAGTGCATGGCTGGTGTCACCCACTGCCGTGCCCTATTATCTAGCAGGAATCCACACAAGGAAGAGCCCAGTGAGCAAGGGATCTCTTCCAGATGTGACAGAAATATTTGTATTGTCAAGGGGACACCATGCCAGGGTTTTCATAGCAAGACATCTGTGTCTGTAATCTGACAGACAGGATAAAACATTCCTCTCTCACTCCTACCTAAAAACATGGCATAAGCTACGAAAAGTGTTCTATCCTTCCTTTCATGTAAAATAATAACAACAGGAGCACTTATACCAAGAGAAAAACTGTGCAGATGTAGTAATTCAGTGCCTGGTGTCTAGGAAACTTCTTTATAATGATTCGTGATGTTGTAGTTATTGTTGCCTTCTCTTTGTTCCTATTACCCGCCCCCCTTAATCTTTTGGAGTGCTGTGGAACAGTTTGGAGGGACTAATTTTCCCCTATCATGGAAATGAATTATCAGTCCATGGGAAATAAAACCATTGAGGAAGAAAGAAAAAACATTGAGTGAGATTCCTGGGGGCCCTACCACAATCAAGAACATAGACTCCACAGAGCCCATAGGTGAATTGTTCCACATTGGTGTATTCTTCCCTGGGTACACAAAGCACATGTTTGTCCTGATGATGAGGAAGCAACATTTTCCACAGTCCCACTGCCATCCATCACCTTCTCCAGTACTTACAGAGAAATGCTGGGTTTCTGCTGTGACATAACCAAGAGCTGAATATCCAAGGACCCACCTTCTTCTGCCAAGTCCCAAGGTAAGGCTCCGTCTCTGTCCTCAGGATTGATATAAACACAGTAATGGACAAGAGCTTCCTGACTCAAACAATGATGGGAGGCGCAGATAGGGGAACAGAGCTACTGGATTAGAGCCACAAACTGAAGATCCACAGGCACAGGATGAGGATTAAGTATTGTAAGACCTTGGGGGCACCATGCACACAGCTCATAATCAGTCAAATTGGTTCATGTTCTCCAAATCTCCAAGGATGTCCTTACTTATCAGTAAGAATGAAGAAGAGTAAATAAATGTCCCTAAAGGTTATGGCCTCTTCCTCTATTCAGCAGTAAGTATGTGTGTAATATTCATTTATTTCAAGTCTTTTCATTAGCATCTATTAATTGTATATAATAATGGGATGTGGTATGCTATTTACAAACATTCAATCAGTGTGCAATGTTCCTTACATAACCATCCTTCTCCGAGTCTTCCCTTCCCAAGCATGCTCATGCTCCCCAA